TAACGATTTTAAAGTTTCAGGGGATTTTTAAGGATAATTTTAATTGATCGGCCTGTTTAAATATTTCTTTTTAATTCGGCTTTTAATTATTGTATTTGTATTGTAGTTTTTATGAGGCTGTTAGCCGCCCTGAGTCCCATGAGGAGAAGGGCGGGGTATAAATTAAATTATAAATAAATAAATAAATAAATAAATAAGAAGAAGCAATGAAATGCTTTGGAATTGGAAAATGAAACTGCCCAAATGTATATATTCAACTCATGTAACTACTATTGCGCAACAGGCAATGCCAACCCAATGCAAATAGGTGGACAAGAACAGAAAATAGATTTTATGTTCCTAAATTCAAAAATTCTTGATGACGTGGCTATGGAACATTTGCTATTTAGGAGAAAATACATCATAGATCAAGCCTTTCTTCCAAGTCTAAAGCTTTACACCAGGGGTTCCCAACCGGGGGGTGCAAGATAATATTCCAGGGTGTGCAAAAACTTGGGTTTAGAAGTTTCAAAATTATAGTGTATCTGCATAATTCATTGCTGTTATTTCAAACTTTTGTAAGGGCTGCGAAAATATATCAGAAGTGTTCTGGGGTGTGGGGTATAGAAAAGGTTGGGAGCTGCTGCTTTACACTGATAATGAAGCTAAAACAAAGACTGAAGATCTTAATGGGGAAAAAAATAAAACTAAAAATAGTCAATTAAAGTAATAATCTCACTGATGAAATATGAAATAACAATTTAAAGATGCAATTATTGACAGACATTCCTGAAGAAATAGTGATCAAGTGACTTGAGCAGCAAACACAAGTTTCATTCCATGGTCAATTTTTTCTCTTACAAATGCTAAATGTATCTTTTGATCAGCCTTCCTAAAATTTCGTTTACAGTATATTAACCATCCTTTTTACTATTCTTCCAATCTGTTCAAATTTATCATGATCTTCCTTAAAGTCAGAACTTGGCACATATTTGAGGTGACAAGACAGTAATGAAGTATAAAATTGCATAATTTAGAAACCATGCTTATATTGATGGAGACTGAAATTAGATTTGATTTGAATCATTGCTGATTCACATTCTACTGATAATCAGTTATAATGCTAAGATCACTATCTTCCATATAGCTACCATTATATTTGCTTGAAAATGAAAAGAAGGGTGCTTTGAAGGTTGAGTAAAAGAAGATGTTAGGCACAGGGATGAGGGACGCTGCAAGTTGTATAATACTTCTTTGATAAGATAGCAAAATAACAATTTCAGTACTCACCTGCTTGATTGGTTGTAATGCTGACTGCAGCAAATTGTCTTGGCAAGTTACTTAAATCAGAGACTCCATTAACAGCGTCTATCTCAAAAGTGTAATTTGTATGAGCCAAGAGATCCACTACAGTCACAGTGGTATTGGTGAGTCCCATCTGACGCGGAAGAAATCTTACTATATTGCTACATGGTTCACAGAGCTTGCTGGTTCCTCCACATTTCTTGCATACAATGTTGAAAGTGACATCCTTTCTGCCCCCTGTGTCCAAAGGCCAGCTCCAATCTAGGATGACTGAGGTCTCATTGATATTAGAAATAACATTTTTGGGAGCAGAAGGCGGTCCTATGTGGAAAGAGAATGAAAATAAAATAAGTATTATTTATCCTGTTTGAATTCTGCTCAAGAAATAAAGTCATTCGAGTATGCATTTAACAATTGTCACTGTCATATGGTTTTATGGTCTATCTTATATCCTTTAAGCAGATGTGGAAAACTATAGCCCCTTTATGACTTGTGGACTTCAACTTCCAGAATTCCTGAGCCGGCATCGCCGGCTCAGGAATTCTGGGAGTTGAAGTCCACAAATTATAAAAATGCCATTGTTCTTCACCCCTGTCCTAAAGGAAAATTATATATTATATATTCTCTTACACACTTTAAGAGATATCAACCAATTTTGTAACACATGTGTATTTTAATATCTAGCTTTACTCCCTCTCCTCAAATTAACTAATATTCAGGCTATTACTATGAATAAATACAGCAGCACTGAAAGATAATAAAAACATTAGGTATAGCAATATAAGGCACTTTATTATAAGAAATTAACCAAACCAGCAAAAGTATGCACTGCCTTAATGCTGTGCTTTCAGTATCCAGCTGATGCAATGTGCCATAGCAACTGAGGCATCAGAGGCCACATCTTCAGCCCTGTGAAGTATTGAAGTCAGGATGAGGCTCAGTCCTGTTTTACTAGCTGCCATTAGGGGGCAAGTGACTACCAAACAAGTTGTTTGTGTGCTTGTAGACCATGGGAAGGACCAATAAATCGCATATGGCATCACTGCTTCAATTCAGTAATAAAAAAGTTTGCTTTTTTCACTGATCTGATTCAATGGTGGAATCTGTCAAACGATGTGAGTCCTATTATCCATCAAAGCTTTGTACAGTCTTAATAAAAAGCAGACCTTAAGTCTAGGTGCTTGATTTTTTAATACACAGCTCTAGGCTCCAAGTTAGTCTTTCACAAAGGACAACTGTAGCCTAAATTTCCACAATGAGTGAATGAGAATTGTCACACCCAAAAGTAGGAATAATTAATCATTTATATGATGGGAAGTAATTCTAATATAACTTATTGTACTAAAATTAATATTATAATGCTACTGTGAATAATAATGATGATGCAATAAAAATGATAATAGTGGTGGTGGACCATACAAATACAGTATATTGAAATGTACGATGTTATAATAAAATTGTGCCTTTTTCAATTTTTTTAACTATAAAAAACTAAAGTAGAAATACAGACTAAAGGCATGTCCATATTATTGTTTTATATCACAGAGAAATTGTCTCTGGACCTAACTGATCCTACACTACTGTTTTGAGGCTCTGGATTTACTGCTTCTAATCATGCTTCTGTTTATTGGAAATTGGCACAAGTCTGGTATCTTACTTTTTACTTTTTTAGCTGAATACCTGCTTGGAGATCTGTTTTCTAATTGGTAGGAACTTTTGCTTCATCCTACCTCCTGGTTCCAGAGTTTAAACCTTTAGTTTCTCTACCTCCCTCTCTCTTTCTTCATTATACTGTAGGATGCAAAGTTTGTTTTCTGGAGTTTGCATTTTTGTATTTAAAAATTATTCTTCACCTCTTTTTCCAAACCAGCAACCATAACAATGTCTAATCATGATTAGTATGAAAACACTAATGACATAGAAATACTCTAAAATGCATGCCTAGATGACCAACAACATGTAAGGACAGATTTCAGTTTCATCATAATGAGGTTACTCACTTGTGCAAGCCATTGATGGAACATCTCCTTCAGATCGAAAATAGTTCTTCTCACACTTGCAGTTTGTAGAACCTTCCACATTTGTTGAACTATGAGGTGGGCATTTAGCGCATTTAACATTACCAGCAAAGGCTTTATAAAAACCTGGTCGGCAAGCTGTAAAAGAACAGTAATTGCTTACAATTTTTCGTATTAAAGTTTTGTTATTCTTTGCCAGAGAGAGAAAAGGTATTCCATCTGAAAACTAAAAGTCAATATTGAAATGGCATACATGAAAAAATGATAGTTTGCCTTGGTCTTAGTACAGCAAAGTATATTCACTTTATGACTTTGCCTAACTCTAAGCAAAGTATATTAATTCTAAACTATATTCTGTAGAATTGCCAAAAATCAGGGTCTAAATTTAAGCCTTCCTTTATTCCTTTCTCTTTTTTTCTTAATCAATGTTAGAGTTTCAGATTTCATTTCCGTTGCACACATCTTGCATGCAAAAGAAATCATGGTCTTATCTTGGACATTTTCAATCTCATCTGCCATTTTCCAAGAGGGCTGTGAATTATTGTCAAAACCAATATAGCCAATGTAGCTACAATATTTACTTAGAAGAACCAATGGTCTAACTTTTCATAAAACAGGTATTTATGTTAGAAATATAATGGGTCTAAAATATGCAAGTTAAAACTATGTCTTGCTCAGTAGGCTGTCCAGGCTAAGAAATGGCAGATTATCTAGGAGAGTGGCCCCCAAATATTTGGGCATGTTCTGTGGAGAGAGGTTTTCCCATGGACTGGAGGGAACGTGGTTTCATGTGCTGCCTGCATCCTGTGGATTGGGTTTTGCTTGTTTGCACGGACAGGTTTCTAGCATGCCACGGATTGGTGCCGGTCCACGGACTGAGGGTTGGGGACCCCTGATATAAGAAACCTCTATCAGGTCTCTGCATCCATGAAGTGCCAACTCATTAAAGTGGGCTTGGTCAAGAAACAGATATGGCAGGAATTACTTTCAAGAATACATCTTATTACTTATTCAGCAATATCACCTTATTTTTCTAGGATATAATAACATGAAACTACAGAACTCCACTTTTTTGAGGAAGTTTCTTTTCCAACTGCATTATTGTCTTTTGGTTTTCTTTCATTTTGAGCCAGAGACATATAAAATTATCATAGCTTTAAAAGAAACAGAAAAGCCTCATATATTCTCAGCCTCACTTAGCATATCTGCATATCTATCACTATCATTATTTTGATCCTTGTTCTATTTATAAATAATTAAAGTTATTATGTCACTAAACATTATCGCAGCCTATTTTATTTTATAGGGAAAATTATGACTTCCAAATAACATATGGATTATATTTGTAATGCTATCCCAGAAACCTAAAAACACAAATGTTTCCTAGCTTGCAATCTTTCAAACTTACTAAGTATAGCTAGTCAACCATTTGAATAAAGCAGAATAGCTTGTTGCTGGTCAGCATCCAAATTAAATAAATAAAGCAAACAAACACATACAGTATCGACATACATAGGGGTTTAAACTGAAAAATAACATTTTCATTTGTTGAATATTGACATTTGGGAACACTCACTCATCCTCCATTTCTGTGCTGGGAAAGTTAAAACAATGAGAAACAAAAGCCAAATGAGAAAAAGATATGTGGGCAGAAAAAGATATAATTTTTAACTAGGGAATATGATACTTATAATAATTGCACCATTACTAAAGAATGTGTCCAATTGAAGGGAAAAAATAAATTCTATATTTTCAGAATTGCTTTGATTTTTATGTTCTGTAGTGGTCCTCGATCATGAATTCAACTCTCTAGCAAAATTTAAAGTTTGCAGATGATCCAGTTTACTTTGATCTCAGTATATGTAAGCAAGCCATGGTAACCATAACAAAATGTGAATAATGAAATGTTCATATAATTCTGAAAATAAGCAAAAGCACAATGAGCTTTTTCTGGTCAAAATTAAATTATCTCTCAGAATATGATTCTTGTACTTACAGATACAGCTGCGGATAGTGTCTTAGCTTGTATAATCTGTTAGTGACAAACTCCAGGAGGTGGTGTTTCATTAACATTGGCATGTTCCTTTAGTCTTTCTCATTGCCCAGACTGAGTCAAAACCACCTCACATCATGTTAATACAATGTGAAAAGTGAGAATGACATAATCTGCAAGTAACTGCATGCCACTACACTTCATTAGAATACAGTATTTATAATGGGTAAATCCTGGGGATGGGCATACAGCCACAGTGGCTGGACGTCAGCCATTACCTCTTCTCAAATGACCATAAACACTTTTTTATTTATTAACTGAATTACATATCCTGAGATAACAGCTAATTTTATGGCTTCAGTTTCAGTGTGCCTCTCATACTAATTCTTCAACATAAAAAAAAGAATTTTCCCATCAAAACTGTTTTTCTGATCTATATATTTAGACATACACAGAAATATATATACACGCTCCCTTTAGTGTCTGATTAGTCTGAGACTAAAAAATATTAAAATATTAATATTTCCAGAAAGAAGGATCTCCCACTTTAATGCTAATCTTAAGTACTACAGGCTTAAACCTTCATTATCCCAAAGCTTTCTCCACCATTAGCAGAAGTAAGTCATGGCCTTTTCAACTCTGCCTACTCAGATTGTAACTCCCACCATCTTTAGGTTTAGCCCGATTTGTGAATTTAGTGGGCACAAAATCCTTTTTATCCTCCTTTTTATTTTATCAGCCTTAAATGTTAGCATTTTAAGTAAGATGGTCTCTATTTGGTTTATACTGGTCTGTGTTAATATTTCCACAGGGTTGAGATTGCTTTCTCCTCAAACATGAGGAGAATTTATATTGTATAATCTTACAAGCTCCTGAGAACTATTCTGAGGATTGAAAGGTCATAATAATAATTGTATATTTATGAATGCCCACCTAAAAAAATTATGGACAGAAACACAATGCAAGAACCAGGAAGCCAAAAGATTGAGGTTAATGAAGACAAGAGCAATACATAATAAGAAACATCACTACAAAGCCAGATTAGTCTTCTCATTGTCTCTAGAGGCAAAAACTTTGCAATCTCTTTGTGTTTTCTGCATGGCTAAGTTACAGTGCTATAAAGATAGCAATTATGAAGCAAATGAGCTAGTTAGAAACCTGCTGTCCCAGTAAGCCTTAGTGGAAGAATCTGATTTGTATCCCTTCTCCCCATCCTGTCTGTCTTACAAGTCTTCTGTCTTTGTATATCAAGTTAAAATAAGATCATTCGGTGCTACAATTCTCAGGAGGGGGAAAAAAGCCATTAATTACATTGTAAATTAAATCCTGGAAAGTGAATGGCGTGAAAAGGTGATTCTCTTTTCTGAACATCATGAAGAATGAGGGAAGGAAGGATGTGAAACATATTTCTTCTCAAGGGATAATGGATGTATTTATTATCTCTGCTTACAGACCCATATTATCTTTCTGCATATAAAGTATATTTTAGGTTTAGTTTTGAAAGAAAAAGACTAAGATGTATGTATATTCATTTTTATTATTTTTTTAAAAAAAGAACTGAAATATAGTTTTCATTTGTTTCTATAGATAGTCCTTGAGTTATGACTCAACTGTTTGAAAATAAGACAGTGTTGAACCAAGGAACGTATGATTTGTCTTCAAAGCTACAGCTGTTGAAGTACTTCATGGTCACATGAACAAAATTCAGGTACCTAATAACCAACTCATATTTACAACTAGTTGCAGCAACTTGTGGTCATGTGATTGCCACTTGTACTCTTCTCTGCCAACTTCCCCCAAGCAAAATCAAAAGAAACCAGCAAGGAAGGTCACAAGTTGGTAGGGTATGTTCTTCCATCCTAGCTTTTCTTCATGCACATGCATTGTGCCCTCCTTTACCCCTTTATACACAACCTTCCACATCTTATTTTCCTAGCCTCGCTGTGCTTGCATACACAAATGCATGCTTCCTATTCCCTCCTTCCTCAGTCTCAGCCTCCCTTCAATCAGAGACACAATGCATGTCCTCCCTTTTGCCATGGCTTCCCTCAATTACATGTATCCCACATCCTCTTTTCCTCACTTCCCTGTGATCATGTGCAGCTGCGCACCTATTACATAACCTTTTTGAGCTCATGCCACACAAAGTTCCATCTTTCCTGTGCAGCCTGTGCCAGGCCTCCTAGAGTCTCTCCCAATGGAACCCACATGCCCCTTAGTTAGGACTCAGCTTCCCACTTAATGAACCACACATCTTGGGTTACTGGAACAATTGGGACTGCCATTACTAATTTATGCAATCATGGGACATCACATTAGAAACAGCAAAGTCGTGTGTCAAATGCAGTTGTCATTAGTAGATTACCTGTAGATATAAATTTTTAAGCCAAATTAGGCGACTAAGCAGCAGAATTATAAAATGTGTTATACCTATTGCTAAACTTCTAACATTCCTAAAATGTTTTCATTTTGTCACATATCTTTTATCCTGGATTGCAGCTTTGTTTCTCTATCCTTTGTAGAATCTTAGTAAGTACCTAATTGTCCATCTTATACTATTTTGTCAGAATCAAGGAATATACAAACAAATTACAGTTGTGTGCAAAATATTAAATGTATCATCATCTAATTGAGATAAGAACACTGACATACTTTGTCTTCCTGGCAATAATTTCTCTTGTTTTCTATTTACTACAGTTACAATTCCAATTACTGTAGCTGCTGCTTTCCCCTCCCCCCCATCTCTCCTTAAGTATATATAATAAGGAAACAATAGAAGGAAATATAGGATTATTTTGACCATGATATCTATTGTTTACTAAGTTAATATCTGAAAACATTCAATCCCTGCACATTGAATTGCTGTAAACTTTGCTGTAAGTTTTGTATTTCTACTCAGAACTTTAAGAATGGAGTTCCTGTTAGATCATACCGCATGCTTCATTTGATAAATAAACAGCTACATTGACCTTGCACAAATAAGTTAATGCAGTATAGTTAATTCAGGAAGTTATTTTATTTATCTTGCACTATTTCATATTGGTTAGTGTATAAAGCACTAAAAACTAAAAGGCTACTATTTATGAAAGGTGCATTTCAGAAGCATGATAGATATTAGGATACATTAAAGAAAGTTATGAAATGG